GGCGCTGAGCATTAGCACATTACATCAACAGCGACGGGCACTTAACCTTCCCGCTCGCCTTTCCTCACGGTGTCTCTGCGACGGCCTGAGACAAATGGGCCGAGGGGCACATGCTTAGTTAGGATTTAGTACATGTGGGGCATCCGCCAGCATCGCATTACCTGGTGATTGAGGTGAAATGTGGGCAGCGGGGAAGGCCATTCTCTGGGAAGCCGGGGGCCTTCACCCGGTGAGGGGTGCCAGGACTAGCCGTCCTGGAGCCTCCTGATGCACCATCCCGGGAGCACCTGAGAGCTCCTTCAGAAACAGAGGCTTCTCATCATCCAGAGGATAAAGTCCTGCACAGCCCCCCTGGGGGCCTGCATGACCCTTACACCCTCTGCAGCCTCATCTCGGGCCACCCACACATAAGCTCACTCCGACACACAACCACATCGATGTGCTTTTTTAGTTCATGACCCACCTTAGGTAGTGTTTTTCTGGACTTTTGCAGTGCTGGTACCTGTGCCCAACACAACCCTTAATTTCCATCTTATCTCCTCAACTCCTGAGCCTTTCCTGCCCCAGTTTGAAGGCCACTTCAGAGAAGCAGCCCCTAAGTAGGTGAGGGTGTTACTTTCCTATGACTGCTGTAACAAATTGTTGGCTTAAAACAACAGTTTTACAGTTCTGTTCTTTCAGAGGTCTGCAATGAAGGTGTCTGTAAGGCCAGATTCCTGCTGAGGCTCTGGAGGAGGAACCATTTCCTGTTGGGTCCAATAACTAGAGGCCAAGTACACTCATAGCATCTTCTCTCCTTTCTGGTCCTTATGTCTGTATCAGACTCTCCCCCATCATCCTTCTTGATAAAACTGGGCCACCTTGCTAATCCAGGATAACCTCTCATTTCAAGACCCTTACTCTAATCACAGCTGCAAAGTCCCCTTGCCTGGCAGAGTGGCAGCCTGTTGCAACACTCCAGTTGTCCAGAATAGAGGGATGGTCTTCGTGTCCATGTGCAGAAGACTGGTGTGTTCCTGTTGATGGGATCCTGGCACTGAAGATGGCACAACAGGGCAGGAATGCTTTATTTGATTTCAATCTGGTCTGGTGGAGTGGGGTCTTGGAGTATGATCTTAAGTTTCTCTAGGAAGCCAGAAAGGTCAGATTATATCTCTGGAAGACCCTGTCTAGTGATTGTTTGTGACAAAACCAGAGAAATAAGGTGGTCATCTGAAAGGGACTATGCATGGTTGGGGATAGTCAGTCATTCTTTCATTCATTCCACACATTTCTGAATCAGCGTCCCTCCTCCCCACTCCCTCACCACCTCCCCACCCCTGTGTGCTAGGCACAGTTCACGGGTAGAGGGGACCTACATGAATAAGAAACCACCCAGTAGGAATTCATCTACTTGGTGAAGAGTGACATGGAAACAAAGCAATGATGGTTCGGTGATTGATGAAGGAAGGAAGGGATCAAATGTGTAACAAATACATTAGCACAAGGCGAGGAATGGGGGTGGGATGGGGTGGAGGGGCATTGAGTAAGGAGTCCAAGGAAGAACCTTGATGGCAGGAATGAGGAGGGTGGTTCAGGTGCTCGGAACAGTTTCTAGGAACTTTTGGAAAAGTGGATCCAAACCCCAGGTTACCTGAAATGGGGCAGTTATATGTTTTAATGGCCCTAGGAAATTATATTTTGTCAAAATGAAATAGAATTTTGAAAGGCTTCATCGTAGTTGTGAAGAAAAACAGCCAGCCTCTTCAGATAATACTCACCACAAGGCTGCTCTTGTGAATAGTTCAGCACGCTCTGCAAATAGTATCTCATTAAATCATCCAACCTCCCTGGGAAGAAGCTAGCAGCAGCAGCTGGCAGACTCCTTTCTCTCATACAATAGGGGGTGTTTCTGCTGCTTCAAAAGGAGCCCACCTAAGTCGAGTGTTTTTTATCTTCATGCAGTAACTCAGAACACATCAGAACAGCTTCTGTACACAAGGAGGTGCATCGTGCCTTCCCACCACCAGCGTGCAGGTCTGCTCTCCAGCTGGCGAGTGCCCTTCTCAGTCTCCAGGAAGCCCAGTTCTGTGCTTGAAGCTGACTGAGCTTTCGAGATAGAGAAAACACGGCCCTTGCTCTTACAGGGCTTACTATCCGGTGAGGAGGAAGGACACAGCAGGTTTCTGCACTTGATTTGTGGTGTGTGATTTGCCAAAGGTAGAGATTAGCTAGCCCAAGCTACGTGTCACAAGAGCTCCCTGACAATTATATCTCCATCTCTGTGGCGGAAACTGTGGACATCCTGTTCCCAGCTCCCTTTACCTTGCTGGTTCTCACTGGAGAGGCTACAAAGCTAAATACTTGCTTTTCCAGCATCTCTTCTAGAGTGGCCATGTGACCGAGTTCTGGCCAGTGAGACAGAAGCAAAATCTATCATAGGGGAGGGAGGTTCTGAAAAAGGTCTTGTGCTTTTGACTAAGGGGGACAACCAAACTAGTGTAGCACCTTGAGTCTTCTTCTTGCTTTGATTGTATCCATGGCGGCTGTAGCTTTTTCGTGAAGGAAAAGCTGAGAGAGTTGCAGGGCGTTGGAGAGCCAGTGAACCAATGCCAGCAGCTGCCAACTTCTAGATTTTTCACCATGTGAGAAACAAATAGCCTCTATTTGTTTAAGCCACTGAGGTTAGGCTTCTAAAATTTGCAACCAAATGCATTCCTAACTGATAATAGGCACCTAGCAGTCAGTCAAGAAATTGTGATGAAAGCCATAAATAATGTGATCGATTCTCTGAGTTGAATCTTAACAGATTGGGGTGTGCTGGGTTATTTCAGTTGGAGGAAACTGAAATAGCGTGAACAGAAGCTTGAAGCAGGAAGCCATGAGGAGCTCACAAAGGAACTACTCACAAGTAATTCATTGTTCCTAGAATATAAAGTAAGAGGCAGGGGGTGGTTGGATGTAAGCCTGGAGAAGCAGACAGTAGGGGCTGGATTAAAACAATGTTCTTAGATGCAAAAAGGGTCCCAGGCTCCAGTGACATAACTATCCGTGTTACCCCTGTAATTGCAGAATTGCAGCCAATGCCACCAGAGCAAAAGGAGTGAGCAAGGAAGTGAATGTATTCCTCCTTTGGCCACTGTATTAGTTACTTGTTGATGCATACAAGTTACTCCAGAGCTTAGCAGGTTAAAAAACACACACTAATGATCTCATCATTTCTATAGGGCAGAAATACAGATGTGGCTAACTCTGTCCTCTGGCGCAGAGTCTCTTTTAAGACACAGGGCTGCAGTCTCATCTGAAGACTCAGCTGGGAAAGGATCCACTTGCACATTCACGCACACGGTTATTGGCAGGATTCAGTTCATCTGCTGTTGGCATCAGAAGTCTCCTTCAGTCGCTTGCCTCATGGGTCTCTCCATGAGGCAACTCAAACAGGGCAGCTGACTTTATCAAGTGAACAAGTGAAAAGCAGAAGAGGGAATTCTGCGTTCTTTTATAACTTTTTTTCAGAAGTAGAATTCCACTCCTTTGCTGCATTCTGTTCATTAAAAGCAACTTACAAGTCCAGCCTATATTCACGGTGAGGTGAATACTGGCAGGTGAGGATCACTGAAAGCCATTTGGCAGCTGCCACCCACAAGCTCAATGCCACCTCCTTTCTTTCTCCTTCGCCTTCCCCTTGTCATGCAGCAGCATCTGTTTTATCATTGTCATTGTCATCACCACAGCCACAGTGATTATCTATTAAACACTTCTTATGTACCAGACACTTAACATATATAGTTCATTTATCTTCACAACCACTATATAAAGGTAAGTAATAGTATCCCCATCTTGAATATTAGTAAACTGAAGCCCAGAGAGGGACTGTGATTTACCCTACATCACACAGCCAGTAGGAAGTAGAATTAGGAGTGAAATCAAGGCCTAACCCTAGCAGAGCTCTTCACTGCCTCTCCCGGAGGCAACATCTCAGAGGTAGGAGAGCCACGTCTGCCAGCCTGCCCTGGAGCCCAGGCTGTTTTCTGCTTTCCTCCAACCTCACCAGTGCTAAAAGCTAAGGCGTGTAGAGATGAGAGGGTAAGCTAGGCCCTCTCAAAATGCTTGGGCCTAGAAAAATGATAGGTAAAATGAAAAAGGATCTGTAAAATAGATCATAGCCCTGCACCAATGTTCTTTTTTTTTTTATCATAATGATTGCTCTGTAGTTATGTAAGAAAATGGCTTTGTTCATAGAAAACATATACTAAGCAGCAGTTGACAACCTTTTGCACCTCACGGACCACCGGTGGTCCACGGACTCCAGTTGGCAACCGCTGTTAAAGTATTTATAAATAAAGAGATATTATCTGGACTCCGCTCTCAGTCATCTCAGAAAAAAAATATTTGTAGGTGTGTGTGTGTGTGTGTGTGTGTGTGTGTGTGTGTGTAGAAAGAGAGAATGAATATGGAGAGATGTTAATATTCGGGGAATCTTAGTAAAGAGTATATGGGAATTCTTTGCATAAGTTTTGCAACATTTCTTGTAAGTTGGAAATTGTTTTTAAAATACGTTTTTTTAAAAAGTGCTGGTTTACTCTTACACCTGAGTTCTACTCGGACTATCAAAGATGACATTACACACCTCCTTTTGACTCCAGGGAGACCCATCAGAGACCAGGGAGGGTATGGACCTTATGAGCGTAGTCTCTGAGGTCAGTCTTCCTGGGTTTCAGTCCTGGCCCCGTGGCTTCTCAGGCTCCTGTGCCATATAAGTAACCACTGGGGGCTGTTGAAAGGATTTGGTGAGATGAGGGATATACTTTGATGTAGTGTTTAGCACAGTTCCTGACCCATGGGGATCCCTCCACAAACATTGTTGTTGTTATTATTGCCTCCTCATTCATCTAATAAGTGAGAAGCAATGTGCTGTGTGTGGTTTAGAGACACAGATCTTCACGTGAACTCCCTGACATGAGTTTTTGTCCCCGTCAGGCAGAGTGGCCACTGCAACCGATGCGGATGTGCCTGACAAGATGAAGGGCCGGATCCCCGTGGTGCTCCTGGCCTGTGGCTCCTTCAACCCCATCACCAACATGCACCTGCGCTTGTTTGAGGTGGCCAGAGACCACCTGCACCAAACAGGTCAGTCAGGGGCCTGCACCAGTCCTGGTGGATTGGGTCTGCGGGGCTTTGCTGGCTTCCTTCATCATCACCATTCTTAAAACTGTTTGGTCTGTTCATTCACAGCATAACTGGTGGCATACATTTCTTCCATTATATTTTGAGGGTTAACACTCCTTAGCCGTGTGACATATCCCTGGCCATATAGTTGAATCCTTCTCAGAGTCCCCCCATACCCCTGCCCATCTCATATTGCCTATAAATGCTAAAGGCACCAAATATTTTATAGAACCTGTGTCTCTGGCAGGGCACCCTTCCTGATGCTTCCAGAAAGCATTTACACACACAGCCAGATAAAGAGGTAGTAGGTGCTCTTGAGGACCTCTGCTATCCCTCAGTGGGTAAGCAAACATTCTGAAGTTGACCATGGAACAATGAAGGGGTTAGGGACACTGACCACCCCCCCCACACACACACACACATACAGTCGAAAATCCACATATAGTTTCTGACTCCCCAAAAATTTATTGTATGGAATTCTCATATACTACTGGTAGGAAAGTGAATGGTGCAACAACGGCTGTGGAAAACAGCTTGGCAAAAAAAATCCTATAAGTTAAATATTTACCTAACATGAGATTCATCTGCTCCATACCTATTTACACGCCCCCCCCCCCAAAAAATGAAAGCATATGCTCATGCAAAGACTTGTGCACAAATGTTCAGAGCAGCTTTAATTATGATAACCCCAAACTGGCAACAATGCAAGCGTATACCAACGTGTGAATAAATAGAACAGATGGTGTTGTATTCATCCAGCGGAGTAGTACTCAGCAATAAAAAAAGAATGAATCAAAAACACAGATAAATCTCAATTATGCTAAATAGAAGAAGCCAGATCAAAAGACTGTATATATGAGTTAAATTTATATAAATTTCTAGAAATTGCAAACTAATCCACAGTGGCAGCAAACAGATTAGTAGTTGAGGGGTCAGGAAGCAACATGGGGCAGGAGGGAAGGACTATAAAATGGCCCAAGGAAAGTTTGGGGGATGATAGATATATTTGTTATCTCAATGTGGTGTTGATTTCACAGGTGTATACATATGTCAAAACTTACAAAATTATACCTTTTAAATATATGTGGTTTATTGTATGCCAATTATACCTTTTTTATTTTATTTGTTTATTTTAATTGTTAACAGTATTACAGATATCTCTCATCTTCCCCCTTTTACTTGCCTCTGTTCAGCTTCTTCCCACCCTACCCCAAAATCCAAAATCAGGTCTTCACACCCTAGTGTTTGTGTCCATGGGCTATGTATATAAGTATATAAGTGCAAATTATACCTTGGTAAAATATATATATATATATATATATATATATATATATATATATATATATATATATCTCAAACTAAAAAAAAAAAAAAAACTCCACAAGATTGCTTTGGTCATATATGTAAATGGGATAAATTATGTAGTGTCCCAATTTGTTTAACAAATAAACAGCAAGCAAGAAAGAGGAATAGGAAACTTTGATTCAACAGAGGTTTAACCATTCAAATGTGCATGGTCCTTTTTGAATCCTGAAATTATCAGTTTCAGGCCCTGTCCCTGATTTTGCTGTGGTTTGAATTCAGGGTCCCAAACTGCAGTCCAGAATTTATAATATCCTTGATGCTTTCTCTATAGTCAGCTCAACAGGTTCCCCCAGAAAGAAGAGCCCTGGTTTTCTAGGCTCATGGAGAGAAAGTGGCCACAGGTCTGCTCTCTGTCAAATCTTTGTTCTGGCCCAGGCAGGACCCAGGAGGCTTATGTCTGGCAGCCCACCAGCACACAGACCCCATCCAGCCACTCCGCTCTGACTTCATTGCTCTTGGATCCTGGATTCTCTATTTCTAGTCTCTCTTGGTTGCCACACCCATGAAAGAAAGGATTGTGGAATAGTGAGCCACAGAGGAGACAAGAGGGTCAGAAAGAGCACTGGTTTTGAAGTTAACCTGATTGTTAAACCCACTCACTAGTTCATGATCTTGAGCAATGTCCTTCATCCCCCCACCTGCGTTTCCTCAGCTGCAACATGGGGATTAAAATCTCCTAACCCTTCAAGGTTATCTATATTATAAAAAGCCAGTGACCATAACGCCATAATGCCATAACGACCAAATGACCAGTCACCAGAAGGTGCATTGATGGGTCCCGTGGTGGTGCAGAGTGGGTCTGGGGTCCTGCAATGGTGTAGCAGGTCTGGGTCTTGTGTAATTTCATGCACTGGGCCTCTAGTTTATTGTAAGGTCTACATGAGATGATGTATGTAAAGTATCCAGCCCACGTGATATAGCCAATAGTGGAGAGACATATTTGGCCTCTCCACTACATCCGGAGCAGGCCCCAGCCCAGTGCTGGCTTACAGCGGCTCCTGTTCCTATGACCATGAGCAGACAGGTTCACATAATAATATCACATCTATGCATGGAAGAGAGGAAACCACAGCCCAGCTTTTCCTGTGACCTTTTCCCTTTTTTACTTTATGATGTTATTTCCTCACAATCTTGCCCCTCTTTTGTGTGGCATTCCAGATTAAACTGCATCGTAAAGATAACCACCAGTCAAAAGCTTTGTTCTTTTTTTTCCTCCTTTTGGAAAACCTGGAGGAAGGGTAAGATATCTTATGGCTCCCAGAGTTTCCTCTCAGTGCCTTGCATTTTAAATGGAAGTGTATTTATTGAGCATCAGCAGTTTTCTGTGTTAAAGAGAAACACCTGATCTGTGTCCAGTAAATTGTACACGACTGTTGCTACCCCTGTGATTTAATCTTGATTCTCTACTATACAGTGAGTATAAAGAGAATTAAATGTATCATTATCAGGCAGTAATGCGTAATCTGAGATAAGGGGGGAGATTAAACTGTAATAATTCTACTAAGGCAGTGACAGCTCCAGTTCTGGGTCTCCTGAGCTTTAGGAGATACCATGAGAGCCTGAGTAAATTTTAAATAATCCCAGCATGTTACTTTAATCTCGGGCTCACAAAGATGATGTTTATCAGTCAAACAGAGTGACTTTAATATATATTCATATATATCCAGCCTGGTCTGAAACATTGTTTGTTTCACATTTCTAATTTAAAACTTTTTTTTTCTGGAGGTGTTGGATTATTCTAGCAGTTGTTTGGACCAAAATAAGTTTTTCCTTATCCCATGAGGTTTCAAGGGTTTATGGCTACACATGTGTTAACATTCCAAATCCTTTCAAAAGAAGGTGCTGTTCTGATTTAATAAGAAATCAGCATTTTTCTTATCCTTAAATATCTACCTTGGGATGTGGCTTAAGGGAAGTAGACTCTAGACAGGTCTCTGAGGGGGCAGATTCTTTGACATTACTCTTGCACTAGATTTAACTATGCCACGTTAGAGGTAAACAGCACTTAACCAATGAGTGACCTTTACATTGAGGTTCTCAGACATTTTATGAACCCTGCGTTCTGGTTTTCATTCTACACCACTGCTGCTCATATATACAATTCTTTGGGGGGGGAGGGGAATGGGAACTGTTACTCTTGTCCCCATAAACTATAAGATGTCTCCCACCTCTTCCTCTGTTTTCTCATCCTTTTCTCCTTCCCCCTAGCCAAAGATAAAAAGAAAACAAATCAATAATTATTTATTTAATTTTTTAATTATTTTGTTTTACTTTGTGCTATTCCTCAAAAAGAGCTGAAGTAGCAAACGATGTAGCCACCCAAAAACGAGTACCTACAGTATATAAAGAAGTCTCAAAGCTGAAAACACAAACAGTCCAATTGGGAAAATGGGAAGAAGGAGACACCAAGAGACATTTCATTGAAGAGGATGGCAAAGAAGCACATGAATAGACATTGAGCAGCATTTGCCATTAGGGAAATGCAATTTTAAAACCACAAGAAGGTATTACTATATACCTAGTAAAATGACTAAAATGAAAACTAATGACAACACTAAATGCTAGAAAGAATGCAGAGAAACTGGGCAGCTCAGAATTGCTGGTGGGAACATGAAATGGCACAACCACTCTGGAAAAGACTGGTAAAACTAAGTACGTAAAACAAAACTACCTTATGGCCCAGCAATTGCACTCCTACGTTCACACAGAAGCCTGTACACAATGTTCATTACAGCTTCAGTTATAATGATTAACACTGAAAACTATCCGGATATCCTCCCAGGGCTGAATAGTTAATAGTTAAACTACAATTCACCCATACCGCAGAACCTGACTCGGTAATAAAAAGAAGCTACCTGTGACAACTTTGATGAGTCTCCAGGATATAATGCTGAGTGAAAACAAAAATCCTAAAGTTTTCATATTGTATGACTCCATCTATAAAACATTCTTGCAGAGATCTAATTACATAAATTATAACAGATTAATGGTTGCCAGGGGTTAGGGATGGGGGTAGAAGGACAGGAGGGAAGTGGGCATGGTTATAAAAGGGCATCCTGAGGGTCTTTGTGGTAAGGGAACTGTTAGGTATGTCTACTGTGGTGTGGATACATGAAACCTCCGGATGGATGAAATTTCATAGAACTAAATACACACATACACACACATGCAACTGAGTGCATGTAAAACTGGTGAAATCTGAACAAGATTGGTAGATTATATGAATCTCAGTGTCCTGGTTGTATCATCCTATATAATAAAAGGCTAATATGCAAATAGACTGAATGGCGGATCGACCAATCACTATGATGCACATTGACCACCAGGGGGGCAGATGCTCAATGTAGGAGGTCAGTGCGCTCCCACAGGGGGAGCACTACTCAACCAGAAGCCAGGCTGCTGTCTGGCAAGAACACAGCAGTAGTAGCAGGAGCCCCTCCTGCCTCTGCTGCAGCACTAAGGATAACCAAATGTGAGGGCTCCCAGACTTCGAGAGGGTGCAGGCCAGGCTCAGGGACACCCCCTCTCCCCCTAACGCCCCCCGAGTGCACATTTTAATGGACCGGGCCTCTGGTAGTATAATAATGCAAGATGTT